CCAGCCACTTCCTCCACTCCTCTCACTCAGCAGCAATCTCTGCGTCTCTACTGTGTACTTCTGAGTAAAATGTTGGAGGGAAAAACCATATGGTACCTTCCCTAAAGCCAGCCTTGGCGGGGCAGTCGGGCGGTCAACAGGGATTGAATGACACCCGGGAATGTAGCGTAGCAGGCAGGGAAACGGGGCAGCCCCTTGCAGCCCCGCGCGGAGGAGCCCACCGCTGCCCTGGGAAGACAGACTGGCACATGGGTTCAGAGCCTGCATCTGACCACGTCCCCACGTCCCGCCTGAGCCTGGGCTGGCTCCTGAGCTCTCTGAGCCTCCACATGCCCGTCTGATGAAGGTCTTTGCAGTGTTTACCTCCTGCCCAGCCCTCAAGCATGGTGGCCGCTGTCATTCTTAATGCCACCCACCTCCAGAAAGGCCTCCGAACTGGGGAAGGGCAGCCTGTTCACGCCCAGTGGCTCTGCCAGTCCTAGGCTGGGTCACACAGCTGACTCCCAAATGAGGGGACTTCCACTCAGAACCCCTCTCCCAGATCTGCCCAGGGCCCGTACCCAAACTCTGAAAGCCAAGCCAACTGCCTGACATGACTAAGTCCCAGGACGAGCCCAGGTATGTGGGAGATTAAACTAAATCAAACTGAAAGCCTCCGAAGGACTGAGCCAGCCGCCACGTGCCCAGGAAAAACCCAACTGAGCAACAGGCCATCCCGCCCGGGGTGGGGCACGCGAGGCGGTGGTACCTTGATGGACAGAGAGCCCGTCTCTCTGTTCAGGGCCAGGTCGGCGGACAGGGAGGTGCCGTAGTCCACGCTCTCGGAGGTGGACAGGCTGCCACAGTCGTCCCGCTTGGAGGGGCTGGGGGCCGAGGCGGGGAGCTCCAGGCTGCCGTTGGCCAGCTTCCCGCTGCCCAGGCTCTCCAGGGCGCTGCTGCTGGGCCGGCCCTGGCTCGCCTTCGGGGCCCTGCTGGCTGCTGGACTGGGGGCTCCGTCTTGCTCGGCGACGTGCTTCTCCTCGGTTACCTGAATTCTGGCATCCATTGACATGGGCCGGGACTTCCTCAGGGACACGGGCACTGCTAGGCCGTTCTCATTCCCAGGGGCCAGCTCGGAGGGGCTGGCAGTTTGGAGGGCTCTGTCCCCAGAGGGCTGGCTGCAGGGCCCATTCACGCTGTCCTGTGGCTGGCTGGGTGGCAGCGGGGACAGAGGCGATTCCTGGGGAAGCTTGTCGGTGTTGAGGCTTAGCGGACTGACCTCAACAGAGTCCCGAGTGTGGTTCCCCAGCGGCTGGAAAAGAGATCAAGGCTTATGCTGCTGGAGGCCCAAGGCAGGCCAGAGGTGCAGTGCAGTCAGAAAGTCAGACTCCCCAAAGGCAGTGGGCCAGGCCTCCAGAGTACGGGAGGTTCTGCTCTGTGCCGCAGTCTTCACCCCTCCCTGCTGCCCCCCAGTAACAATATTACTACCTGCTTTATGGAGTGGGAGTCTCCCATCTCTAATGTGAGTTTCATGTAGTAGCTGTCCTGCCCAGGAGCAGGGGACAGTGGCTACGGACAGCTCGTGGCCCATCTGGGAGGGGCGACTGCTACGCTGCTCTGACCAGTTGTGACCATGTGGGAAAATGGGTCTCCATGGCCGGACCTCCCAACTTTTCAAGGCAAGTAGGATGACTGGATTTTAACGTGAGATCTCTTGATGTCCTATACATCAATCTGAATTAGTAACCATTAAAAAAAAAATCACATAAAGGCCAAACCAAGTTTAATCTGGTCTTCTAGTCACCAAGTTCTAAGTTTTCTGTTTTTGTTTTTTAGAGTTTTTGTGGAATGGGAAGTTGTATGGATAAAACGTAAATGTCCGGCTTGATCTCAGTACATAACAAGAGTGCCACCAAGCAGCCACCTTCCGGGTCAGGAGGAGGGGACGCCAACACCCACCTTCCCAGTGACAGTCCCCTCCCGCCTTCCCTCAGTCACGACCCGAATTATGATCTCCAAGAGCCAGGGGCAGGGGCTGTCCAGGTTATAAGCTTCATATTAATGAAGCACCACGAGCATTATTTTGGATCCTGCCGCCACCAGGTCTTGACCCTGGTGTTCCCATCTGTGAATGGCAGCAGGGTCTATGCCTGTCCACATGTGCAGGAGCCCCCGCGCCTCCAGGGCTGTGGTTACTGCCCCATCCTGCTCACCCTCCTGGGGATTCAGGATTCACTTCCTCGTCCTGGAGAGGGCTCGCCCCAGCTCCCACTCCTCCCAGGACTGAACTGAACTCGAGGAAGACACTAGATTGTCCACAGTACAAGCACGTGGGCAGACTCCGGCCCCTAACCTGCAGGTCCAGCTTCTGCCTCGCCAGGCATGGGGGACTCCCCCGGAAGAGGCTCCCCCAGCACTCAGCCCGGAGGCCAGGTTTATACACGTTTAAATGAGCTTTGATTTAGGTTTAAAATCAGCAAATGATGAGGCTAAAACTAACGCACCCACGGCCCTAGGGAAGGCCACACAGGGCAGGGAAGGGAGGTGGAGGGAGGGACAGCTGCAGCCCCTGGGCCTCCCCTGGACTGGATCCGACCTCACCTATCTATACCAAAGTGGCCTAAAACATTCTCGTTCTCTAGGGGACACAACAGGAAAAAGCTGGGAAGCAACAATCAGTTACCAACTTCTAAAAGTCACGCGATTTCACACGAACATCTAGATCCCGGTCTCTCCGGGGAAGGTCTAGCGCTGGCCAACACCCGGCGGCCTCTCCTGGCCCGTCCCGGACCATGGCCTCTTACATAACCCGCAGCGTGGGAGGGGCAGGAAGGAATGCTTCCGGCTCCCAGCACCCTCCCGGCCTCCCTGCCTGGCCTTACCGAGGTGGCGTCTGCGTCCTCCTCTTCCTCCTCCCCTCGACCGTCCTCGATCTCCTCCATCACCTCCGCCTTGGCCTCGGCCACCAGCTCCCGGAGAGCTTTGTTACTGGTGACACTGCTGACGAAGGGGTGCTGAGGGGACAAGACAAGCCCGGGTCAGAACTCTCCAGGGCTGGGGGAAGGCAGGCGAGCGGTGGCAGCTGGACCCCCAGGCAGGGAAGGCCACTGCAGTTCTGAGTGTGACCTTGGGAAGGGAACCCAGGGGCAGCTCAGAGAGGCTGTGCGGGAGGATGAGGGCCGGCTCGGCTCGGGCACTCGCAGCTGTGTGACCCAGATAGGTCGCTCAACCTCTCTGAGCCAAGGCTCCTCATCTGTGGAGACATTACACTAAACCACAGGGCGGCCACGGAGAGCAGATGCGACAATGCAGAGGAAAGCTTGGACTCACGCTGGGGGTGTGCATGCGTGGCCCAAGTCCTGACAGGGTGCAGAAAGGGAGAGAGGACCGCCCGTGACCAAGCCCCCTGGGGGTGCTCTCCCGCTCTCCAGTCTTGCTCTGCAAGTGCCCATACCCTCTGGCTTATAAACAACAAAGAAAAGAACAAAAAAGGAAAGAAAGCAAGCAGAAAAGACAAGACAAAAAGACAAGGCTTTGGGGCCAGCAGGTGGCGTGGTGGTTAAGGGTGCTGGACTCCCACATGGTCAACCAAGGTCTGGGCCTGGCGACTTGCTTTCTCACTCTCTCCCCTCCCCTGTCCCTCTCTGGTCAAATAAAAATAAATTAATGAATTAATGAAGTTAAATAAAATTATTGTTTTAAAAAAAAGGAAAGGAAAGGCTTAGGCCAAAGAAGGAACTCAAGCTCCATTTGGGGCTGGCAGTCTGTGGGTGTTTTTTTAATTTATTTTCCATTGTGAAAGGCTTTAATTCAGTCATGCACCTCATAATAGCGCCTCAGTCACCCACGGGCCACGCATCCCAGGGCGGGCACACATCACAACAGGCCACGCCATGCAGCCCAGGGTGGCCGGCTCACCAGCCAGGGTTGTGTAAATACGCTGGTGATGCTCACAAGGTGACGAAATTGCCGAGGGACACATTTCTTCCTCTTTTCATTTTAGGTTTTTACCAAAGGGCACGTGCACTTACCGGAGAGAGAGAGAGAGAGACAGAGAGACAGAGAGGAAAAGTGAGAAATCACTTCCCAAGGCTGATGGCCACACCACAGTCTCTTTTCTGTTCTGCTCTCGGGATTTGGGGCACGCACACACACGTGCCCGGTGTGAGTTTCAAGCCACTGGGTCCGGGACTCGAATCGCAGTCAGTCACATGGGAGCCCACACCTTAGCCATCTGCTTGCCTGCAGACACATTTCTAAGACTATATCCTTACAGTAAAATGTTGCAGGAGTGTATGATTTTATAAAACATACCACACGTGTATTTTGAGGTGTAACTTATATACTGTAAGTTGTTAAGCTCAGTGATTTTTAAGTTTTTGCTACAGAGGACCTGTGCTTGCTAGCGACAGAGAGAGAAAAAGTGAGAAGTCACCCCAGGGGGGGTGCATTCCCTTCTCCTCTTGGGATTTTGGGCACGCACGCACATGCACGGGAACAGTTCTCAAGCTACTGGGTCCCAGCTCGAACCTTGCAGTTGGTCACGTGGGGTCCAACTGCCTAACCACACACTGGCTGGCCTGCTCAGGGACTTTTCTACGGACACTCACCTGATGGGGCCACCACCCAGCTCAAGCTACGGGACATCTCGGCATGTTCTCTGTCTCCCAGGTAGCCAGGGCCCACAGCTGCCTGTCCCCAGAGCCTGGTCCCACCCGCCCTTCAGCTTCAAGCGGACGGCCCAGTGCCGGCTTCCCTTACTCAGCTTCATGGCCGAGAGTCCACCTGCACTGCCACCATTCCAGTAAACCCCTCCTTCCATTCCTGCGCTGTGTCCCCGTGTGCCCGTGTTGCGCTGTGCTTATTCACTGAGCTGCTGGACTTCAGGGCTGTCCCCCAAGTTTGGTGACTACAAAGAGAACAGCTAGGACATTCGGGCATGGGCCTTCAGGTGGCACTATGTGTGTGGCTTTAAGAAAAGATACAATGACCTGAGGGGGAGTGCATGTGCTACTCCAGTCTGCACAGGATGTCAGTCTTTAGTTCACGACCTTGCAAAACAGAAGCAAGATGCCGTGTTTTATGGAGGCTGAGTCAGCATGAGGTATCGGGGTAAAAGCTGGGCCTCAGGTAGCCTATCCTCCTTACAGCCTGCACCAGGGTGTGGTCTGGAGGTGGGGTTCCCCTACCTGCCACTCACCCAGATGTTGGGAAAGGAATATTGAGGGGGAGGGGGACAGTGCTGAGTAGGAATTTGTCCATGTGAAATTTACAGGAAGGCTCTGATGAAATTCGCTAATTTTACTCTGAGTGTGGACAAGACTTCTGGGGAGGCGTTCCAATGGAGAATACTTGCTAGTGCCACGAAAACACACCCAGAACTGATGTATCTGCCACAAACCATCCTCGTTGTTTGTTCTTTTGATTTTTCTTTCTTTCTTTTTATTTTATTTTGAGGTTTTTGTCATAGGGGGCATGCACTCGCTGGAGAAGAGAGAGACAAAAAGAAATACAGAGAGAAAAATCATGCACCAGGCATCATTTTCAAGTTGCTGGGTCTGGGACTGGAACTGCAGTCAGCCACGCGGAGTCCAGCACCTTAACCACCAGGCCACCTTCTGGCCCCTCTTCGTTCATTTAAAACAGTTCATTTGTGGAAGGCCACCAGGCCACACTCTGGCCAGCCTGGGCACTGGAAAGCAACAAACCTCCTCCTTTGAAACGGCCCTAGGGCTGGGGTTTTCCTACACCCGTCTGGCTGGTCTGCAGTTCTCTAGTTCATGGAGCTGACAAGAGGAAGAATCTTACTTTCCTTTCTTTCCCTCCCCCATTCATTCATTGATTCACTCCATGAGGAGGCCAGCTAAGGCCAAAACAGAGCAAAGCAGCTCAGTGGGGTCCCTGCCCTTAGGGACTAATGGGGGGGGGGGTTGACCACTGAGGGGGTGGGCACCAAATTCCACCATCAGAGGCCCTCCCTGAGGAGGTGACGTCCAGCCTGAGACCTAAGGGCATGAAGGGACTGGCCAGGGAAAGACCTGGGCACACAGAATTCCAGGTGGAGGCAGCAGCCAAGGTAAGACTGGGCTTGGTGGTTAAATGAGAACGCAGGACCAAGACCAGCAGGAGGCATGGTAGTCCAGGCGCTGGATGGCCCACAGGCTGGATGCAAGTGCGTGCGTGCCCAAGGTCCCAGGAAGAGAGAGGAGGAGGAGGCACTGTGGTGTGGCCATCTCTCCTGGGGGGTGATGTCTCATTTTCCCTCTGTCTCTGTCTCTCTCTGGCAAGAGCACATGCCCTATGGCAAAAATGTAGAGGGAAAAAAATGATAGACCATTGTTAGGGCCTAAGCCCCTGCCCAAGGCCCAACGGGGCAGACCACAATGGACACACCTGTGCTGAAATGTCCCACGGCCAAAGAGAACCTGCAGGAGGCTGACGGGTCCCAAAATAGGCCAGTTTCTCCTGGAAACGGGAGATTCCAGTCACCTGAGTCAGTGCTAACAGGCTGTGAAACTCACATCTCAGACTTTCCTACAAGCTTCACCCAAATGCATTCTTTTACCTTTCAGACTCCCTGGCTCTGTGGCCTGGTGATTAAGGCAGCAGATCCCGCGTGGCCACCCACAGGGTTCTAGTCCCTCCTGGCGCTTGAGAAACACACTATGTGTAGGCTCCCCAGAGAGAAAGCGCCCCAACGGGGCGTGGCCACACTGAGACAGGAGGGAACTGAGGCAAGGGACATTCCAAACACCAGAAACCAGACAGACGAGAAGCAGCTGAGACTGGGTATGAGCAGGGTGGGACAGAAAGTGGGAGGGACAGTGGTTCCAGGAAAACCAGAGCCGCTTTCCCAGCGAAGTCAGGAATAAACCACCCCAGGGTCAGCCTGGCACGTGGCCAAGTCCCGGAGGCCAGACCCCCCTGCAGCCCGGTTGTCCTGCTATGGGGAGCTGTCTTTTCTTTTGGGTAATACTTTTCCGCTTCCCCTCAAGGCCACGACAGCTCGTGCTGGTCTAACTCCCTGACCCTGCGCACCCAAGGAGGGCATGAACCTGTTCCCATCTCCCGTCACAGGGCTCCCCCTAGGCGAGCCTGCTCTGCGCACTTCCCTTTAATAAATCTGTGCTCCCCTCCTGCAGGGTTCGCTCTCAAACTCGTTCCCACACAAAGCCAAGGACCCTCGTATCCAGGACTGAGTCTCTCCGGCAACAATGCCACCCACCTTTCCCTCCACCTCTCCACCCTGTCAGGATTTGGGGCATGCACACATGAGTACCCAGAGTGTTTTTTAAACCACTAGGGCCAGGATAGGAATTGCACCTGGTCATGTGGGACCCAGCTCCCTACGTACAGGGCTTAACCGCCGTGCTGCGGAGCCGGCCTGACCCTTATTTTATTTTTTTAAGAAATATTTTTACTATAGGGTGCATAGACTCACTGGAGAGACAAAGACAGAAAATGAGAAATTACCCCCCAGGGGTGATGGCCTCACTGCAATCCCATCTCCATTCTCCTCTCAGAATTTTGGGCATGTGCGCACACGCGCTCAGCATGAGATTCGAGCCGCCAGGTTCAGGATTCCAACCACGGGGACTAGCAGTTGATGTAATGGCTATGTCGCTGAACTCCCATGTATTTGACAGCGGTTTGAGTCCCGGACCTGGTGGCTTAAACTCATGCCAGGCGCGTGTGCATGTGTGCCCAAGATCCCGAGAGGAGAATGGAGAAGAAGGGATTGCGGTGTGGCCATGCCCCCAGGGGGTGATTTCTCGCTGTCTCTCTGTCTCTCTCTGTCTTTCCAGAGAGCGCACGCGCCCTATAGCAAAGAATAAAACCTCTCCAGGATTCAAACCAGGTCAACTGGGTGGGAGTCCAGTGACATAACCATTACGCCACCTGCTGGTCCCAACCTTACTTCTAACCCAGCCCAGTAATCTCTTTCTAGACGGACTCTGCGTTCCTACGTCACTCTCAGAAGCCACGTGAGCAGCGCAGCTGTGATAATAACCTTTACCTTCAAAGATGGCACCGCTGCTGTGCGGTCTCAAGAGGTCATGAGCAGGGCGGTAGTAAGGGCTTGTGAATTGTGGGAGGCCGGGTAGTGCGGGGTTAAGAGTGCTGGCTGTGGACTTTAAAGCCAAGCGACCAGGGACAAAACCCAGCTCTACCCACATAGGCAAGCCACTTAACGTCCCTGGGCCTCAGTCTGCCCCTCTGTACGCTGGGTAAGAGCCTGGCCGTCCCGACACCACAGCAAGCGCTCACGGTGACAGCCCATACCATTGCCCCCCACCACCCACTGCTGGGGCTCAGAAAACACACCCCGACACGGCACGTTGGTAAACTGAGTTTCAAACAATGGAAACCGGAAGGTCTTAGAGGCTGCCTCAGAACCAAGGGCAGGGAGAGCGGGGGTGCTGAGGAGGACAGGGAGAGCGGGGGCATGCTGAGCAGGAGGACGGGGAGAGCAGGGGGGTGGAGGGGTCCAGGGCCTCAGCTGACACCCTGGACTCGAGGAGCAGTGACCGAGCTGAGGCTTACCAACAAACTCCACGAGTACCAGCTGAGCAGCTAACGGGTGACAGCCATCATGCTAAAGACGCCACCGCAAAATCCACCCACAGCAGCCTGCGGAGCAAGAGTATCCTCACCACACAGACGAGGAGACTGAGCAGAGGAGCGACCGGGATTCCAGAGCGGACTCGCCGGACTTCAGAGCCCGGGTAACTCACCACACGTGATACTGGCCCAAAGACACACGTGTGAGTCAGAGGATGAATGCCACTGGGCACCCGGGTCACCCGGCATGTGGCAGGGCACAGCGGAACACCAGGGGCTGGGGACACCCCGAGGCTGAGTGGGGCGTGAACAGCTCTGGAGGATGGGCCGGGAGCCAGGTTCTGGGCCACCTCTGCTGCTCCCAGCCAGGTGACCTTGGGCAAGTCCCCTCCCTGCTCGAAGACTTGGTGGCCTCCTCCGCCTCAGAGTAACACAGTGCCCACCCTCCCTCACTGGGAGAGGAAAGGGCACTGGCAGAAAACGCAGTGCCAAGTTCTGGAAGGGGAATTTCATAAAGTTCATGGAAAACAGCATTAAAGTACAAGTCCAGGATCAGCCCAAGGCCTTTCGGTTACGGTGCTGGATCCCACATAGCTGACTACACAGTTCAAGTCCCAGACCCAGCGGCTTGAGAAACACACCAAACACATGCATGAGTGCCCAAGATCCCTACAGGAGGGAGAAGTGGAGGAAAAGGGATTGCCCTGTGGCCACCCCCATGGGGTGCCTTCTCCCTCCATCCCAATCTCTCTCTCTGGTGAGTGCACACACTCTCTGGAAAAATTAAAAAGAAGAAAAAGAAGTACAAGTTTATTTTGTGCAAAAAAAGTGCTGAAATGCATGCAGAGTGTTGCTAGAAAATATGTCTCCCACAAACTCCGAAGACCCTTCCATTTCTGGGGAGACCGCTCTCCTACCCTGCAGCCCCGCTGTACGCTGAGACTCCATGAGCAGGCTTTCTTCCAGCCTCAGAGCGGAAATGCCTAGCTCGGGCCAGGGCTCAGGGCTGCTATGTGGGAGAGGACAGCTGGTCCCTTCCCGGAGGAATGTTCTGGAGGCCACATGAATCAGGGCAGGGGGTGCCTCCAAAAGGGAAAACCGGCCCCACTCGGCCTGGAGATTTTGCATCTGATAGTGACAGCCCTCCCTCCCCCACGTCTGGGGGCCTGCTCATGCTGCCCTGCCACACCACCACACACAGAAACTGGGCCGATGGGGCCCCAACCCCATCTCAGAAACGGAGCAGCAGGAGCGCGGCCTTCCAGCAGTCCGCCCTCACAGCGCAGCTGGTTCTTGTTCTCTGTTTATTCGCGATGGCATAGCTGCAGATGGCATAGCTCTTACATCGCTGGGCCCCCACATGGCCAACCACGGACTGAGTTCCAGACCGGGTGGCGTGAAAATCACCCTGGGCACGTATATGTGCATGCCCAAGACCCTGAGGGGAGAATGGAGGAGAAGGGATTGCTGCATGGCCATCTTCAAGGGGTGGGGGCATGGGGCGGGTGCTTTCTCACTTTCCCTCCCTGTCTGTCTGTCTCTGTCTCTCTTTCCAGCAAGTGTATACGCCCTAAGACGAAAACATCTACCCCCTGACCGCCCCCCAAAAAAAGTCTTTTCATGAATGAGAGAGAGAGACTTGGAGAAAGCACCCCGGCAGACTCCCAACGCTGCAATTCACCCACCTTCTGCAGCCCGGGGAACAGGCACATGTGTGCCCAGCTCACTCAAGGAGGTCTCTAGACACAAACCCAGAACCTTCCACGAGGGCAACCTCATAGAGCACTGTGTTTTACCTCTGCACCACCCTCTGCCCCATTTATTTTTTAAAGAATTATTTATTTAGGGGCCAGCATGTGGCATGGTGGGTAAGGTTGCTGGATTCCTATATGGCCGACCACGGTTCGAATCTGGTGGCTTGCTTTTTCACTTTCTCTCTCTTTCTCACTCTGTCCCTCTCTAGTCAAATTTAAATAAATGAATAAACAGAATAATTCTTTTTTTAAAAAAAATTTAACTCTTATTATTATGATTTGATTTGATTTAGGGCACATGTGCTCACCAGAGACAGAAAGAGAGAGAGGGAAAGTGAGAACGCAAGCTGCCAGGTCCGGGACTCGAACTGCAGTTGACCACGTGGGAGTCCAGCACCTCAATCACCACGCCACCTGCTGGCCCTGCCCCCTTGATTTTTAATGAGTAAATCTAATGCCCCCAACCTGCCTTGAGCATGGTGCTTACCAGTGAAGCTAAGCCATGACCCTGTGCTATTAACCCCATTTCAGAGGGAGACTGAAGGCTAACCCACTCACCCACAGCCTCACAGCTAGTGAGTGGCAGAGCAGGGACTTGAACCCAGGACTTTTCGACCCTGGTTCACACTCACAACCACTGAATTGCACACCCAGAGGGCCACCAGAGGCGTGGTGTCTGGCTCAGGCAGACAGCTGGGAAACGCTGGTCCTCCAGCTTATGTGGCAGACTGTCACACGGGGGAAAGAGCCTCCATCAGAGGTGGTGGCACGGGGACAGTGGCTGGCAGATCTGGAGGTGGCGCGTGCCCCTCTGCTAACAGTGCCAGGACATTCCGTCATCCCCGCCATCCACGTGAATTCCTCACGCGGGGCATCGGCCCAGTCAAGGGCAGCTCACGGCTGCTGCCATATGCCCCCCGTCCCCTGCCATATGCAGAAGCTTCAGGAAGCCAGCAGCCTCCTCCCCAACCAAAAGCAAGCTGCTCACCGCACCCAGTCACCAGGCTGGTCTCCCTGACTTGGCACGGCAGCCAGCAGACCATGGTCCCCATGTCAGTGGCAGGCTCCTTTGGTGCCCAGGAAAACCCAGGTCCTGATCCGGAGTGAGAGGCCCAAAGTGACCCTCCACCACCTGGCCTCGTGTCAGACAAACGCAACACAGCTCACCCGTCCCCTGGCCCCTGGAACCTGGCCTTGGAGAGGGGTCCCCCATCAGCTGACTGGGTGGCCCACTCTGCCTGAACCATTCCTGGCACAGCCTGGCCCAGGCCAAACATGGCTGTCCTCCCCGAGACTGGAACTCTGGCCCTCCCCAGGCAGGGGCTGCCAACATGACCACCCTCCAGTAAAACCCCTGGGCACACTGGGCCCTACGTAGCAGAACTGCGCTACTCAAAGGAAGCCAGATCCCACCTGGAGGCCGAATCCAGAGCCCAGGCAGCCTGAAACATACCAGGCACCCACGCGAGTGCCCAAGACCTGACCAGCTGAAGACTCGCTGACAGGCTGGCCCAAGCTGTCACTGGAGGGAGCTCCCTCCCGCGCCCGAGTGCGCACGAGCACGACTGAGAAACCGAGTCTCTGCCGAGCGTCCCTGGTGGACACTTCACATCGGTCACCACGTGTTGCCAGGGCAGTTAGGTGCGCCCTGGGGACACCAGGGGAGGATCCGGGAGCTCGGGCGGTCCCCCAGACGTCCCGAGCACCTTCGGTCTCTGCTGATCTCAGTGTGTTCTGCTGTAACAGCCGCCAGGGAGAGTGCAGCACCCGCCAGTCCTGCCCTGGGTGGATCTGGGCTCTGGCTCCGACCCCTCGCACGCCCTGACCTCTGGCTCTTCGGCCAAGTGCCAGTATCTGCCACCCCAGGCCTCAGCTTCCCTGCTCTGCCTCGCCCGCTCCCCTCCATGGGCATGTGCTCACACAGACCCCCTTCCTGGCCCCCCTTCCCAGCACAGTGGCCCCTCCCAGGCCCGTCCCCAATGCGGTTGATCACACTGTTCCCCACAGCAACCCGTCTGACTGCCACAGGGTTCCCCAGTAGGAAAGATGGGGTCTGGGTGGCAGCACTCCTGACCAGCACTGTGCTGGCCTTTGGGAGGTGCCAAGGGAAGAGCCTTCCTGGAGCCTAGGCCGGGCGGGGACCTATCCACTTCAGGGTTACTGCCAGCTCTCCTCTCCGCCCCTCAGGGTCCCTCCACCTCCAAGGAGTGCGGGCGGAGCAGAGTGGGGAGCCCGCCCCGAAGGGGGGCCCACTGACCTCCAGCAGCTGTGCAGCACTGGGCCGGGTCTCTGGGTTCTTGTCCAGGGCTGTCTTCAGGAAGTCACGGAACTCCACAGACCTGGGAGGACAGGGGTCAGTCCTGAGCTTGGAGTACAGTGAGAGCCGAGGACCCCTGGGCAGACTCCCCCGTCCTGGGCAGTCGTAGGCTTCCGGGCACACCCCTCAGAGGGTGGGCACCCTCATGGACTGGCATGGCAGAGGCAACGGAGCGAGGACATCCTTCTCAGCATGGACCTCTGCCCAGACGGACAGAGAGAAATCAGAGGCCAGGGCCTTGCCGAGGCCAGTGAGCCCCCACAGGGCTGGGCTTTGAACCTAGGCCCCTCATTCCAGCTCTAGGGTTGTGCCACACAGCTGCCGGGCTTCAGGAGGCTCTTGTCCCCACAGTGGAACTGGCTGGTCGGACTCCCTTTGGCTTAGGTAGAACCTCAGGTCAAGTGCACCGAGCAGGAGGCGTGCAGGCCCAGGGAGCTCAGAGCAGCCTGGAGGCCCGGGGCCTGACTGCTCCCCACTGTGAGCCTCGGGGGCCGGGAAGCCTTTAGCGCACCTCCCCAGCCCCATCTGCCCAGTCTAGCCCACTGACTGTCCAGCACACCCCACAGCAGGGTCCCAGCTCCTTACCACTTGGAAGGCGTGAGCAGCGTGGGCGGGTCCGACTTGGCGATCTTGAGCAGCACCCGCATGGGGTTGAGCTCGTGGTGTGGGGGCTCAATCTGGGCCATCTCGATGAGCGTGATGCCCAGGGACCAGATGTCGGCTTTGTAGTCGTAGGGCGTGTCCTTCATGGTCTCACACATGACCACCTCAGGGGCCATCCTGGACCAACCAAGGGACAAGAGGGCTCAGAACCTGTCCCGCTTGCTCGAGAGTCAGGGTCAAGGACTGCCACAGGCCAGTGGCAGGGGCTGGCAGCCCTGCGGACCCAGGCAGGGCCTGCACTGCACATCCCACGGTTGTCCTTGGGACGTCTTCACCCAGAACGAGGCCTGTGCAGCTCACCCTCCACGTCCTGCTGCAGTTCCTGAAGCCTACCACAAGATGGCAGCAACATCCAGACCACAGTCCTGGGTCCAGCAGGAGGGGAGGTGGAGGCAGAGGAGAGGGTGCAGGAGACGTGGGGGGGGAGGTGGGTGAGGCACAGAGACAACAGCAGAGACAAAAGGAAGAAGAGAAATAGAAGGAGAGAGAGAGAGTAAGGGTTAAGAGCAGTAAGTTAGAAAGGAGCCTGAACTACAATGGCAAGGCAGAACTTGGGAAAACACATGTGAGACTGAATGACAGAGCTTTGGTTTTGTTTTTAGATTTTTGCCACAGGGCGGAGGGAGGGGGGGAGAATGTAAGAAGTCACCCCCATGGGGAGATGGTTACACTGCAACCCCTTCTCTTCTCCTCCCAGGATTTGGGGCATGCATTTGCACTAGGTCTGGAACCGGAACTCAAACCGCAGACGGCCATGTGGGATCCAGCGTCTAACTACCACGCCACCTGCTGGCCCCAGAGTTTTGTTTATAAAGAAATAATGTTGGGGGCCAGCCAGCAGTGGTGGTTAATATGGCCGGATTCTACACGGCTGAGTGTGTGGTCTGAATCTCTGACCCGGCAGGTGTGCGTGCCCAAAATCTCGAATCTCATCAGGACAGATGGAGCAGAAGGGAGACAGCGTGACCATTCCCCATTGGGCGTTCTCTCTCTCTCTCTCTCTCTCTCTGGCAAATGCCCTCTAACAAATCAAAACAAAACAACCAAAGAAATCGTTCCGGAAAAGAAGGAAAACAGACTAGGGAAGTCCAAGGAGACTTCATGGAGGGAGGGGTTGAATCCGTACTGCTCTTCCTCATGGCCCCCCACCCCAGCCCAGGGCCCTACACTCAACACGAACTTGCTGAATGACTCTCAGATGAGCCGTGCTGCCGGGATCCCAACTCAGTCATTGTTTCACGTGCGTGTTTCATCCCATCCTCACAGAACCCCACGTGTGCCGTCAGGTCCCTAGCTGCATGCCCAGGGAACTAAGGCTAAGCCCAGCAACCGGTCCAAGGCGCCCAGGTCCTGCAGGCTGGGCTCCCGCTGGCAGGCTGACCCAGAAGCCCCTGCTTTCGGGCCGCCGTCCCCCAAACAACCGGAGGTCACACCCTGGGGACGTTGAAGCTTACAGCTCAGCCCACCATTCCTCCATCTGCCCGAGCTCCCGACTCACCAGTAAGGCGTTCCTATGAAGGAATCTCGTTTCTGAAGAGTTTTCAGGTTCTTGGCCGACACCCCAAAGTCAGCTGCAAGACAAGACCGCAGATGGAGTGTTCAACGGACATGCCTCCACTCATGGCCCCGGGAAAAGCCCCCATGGGGGCTCTGGGACACATTCCGAATGGACCGACAGGTGCCATTTCTGTCTCGTGAATGAGAGATCCCTGCGTACAGGAACACCCGCTGCAGTGGGTGCTGGGAAGGGCACTTGCCTGCCTGCTTCCCAGAGCATAAGCCGGCAGAGTCCTGAGGGGGGCAGTTTTGGCAATAAAGAGCAAGAACCTTTAAAATAACCATATTCATTTGATCCAATAATTCCAAATCTAAGAATTTATTCTAATGAAGTAATACTAATTTTTTTCTAAAAATCTGTACAAAATTATGTTCATAAAATGCCATTTTAGGGGGCTGGCAGGTGGCATGGTGGTTAAGGTGCTGAACTCCCACGTGGCCAAAATGGTTCGATTCCCAGACCTGGTGGCTTTCTCATTCTCCTTCTCTCTCTGTTCCTATGTCTCTCTCTGGTCAAACTGAAGAATAAATAAAATTAAATAAACAGTTTTTAAAAATTGTCTTAAAAATGCCATTTTAGGACCAGCAAGCGGCACAATGGTTAAAGCACTGAACTCCCATATGTCCAACCGAGGTTTGAATCCTGGGCCTGGAGGCTTGAAAATCATGCAGGGTGTACATGTGTGTGTGCCCCAAACCCTAAGAGAATGGAAGAGAAGGGACTGCAGCATGACATGTCCCACGGGGGGGTCTTTTCTTTGTCCCCTGCTCTATCTCTGTCTCCCTCTGGTAAGTGCATAAGCCTTCTGGAAGTTAAAAAAAAAAAAATCTATGTCACCATAAAAAAGGTATAAATGTACAGTGAGGACCAGGTGGTGGCACAGTGGTAAC